TTCTGACTTGCATCAATTTATGTATATTTGCTTATTGTGTTTTTATTCTGATTGTTAATTATGTAGCAGCAGCAGCATCAACAACTACTACTACTTCTGGAAACAAGCTAAAATGCATAGCACTCATGTTGTAAAATACATTATTGCAGAAATTTGGGTGGAGTGAAATTGGTGTCAGGACTGTAGGAAATAAAAATAAAGAAAACAACATGTCAACAAACACACTGAATTGGTGCAAAGTAATTGGGAAAGATACAGGGGAAGGCTATAGGGGAAGGCAAAATCAGTAAGGACTATGCCAGGATGTTCCCCCAAGCAAAAAGAAGGGGGGGGGGGGGGGGAGATGCCGATGACAACAACAACAACAGCAACAACATGCGATTTCAGTTTGGCGTATTGGCTTTACAAGTTATCTGAAGCTGTATATGGGGATGTATTTTCAGTGTTGTTGCAGTATATTAAGGAAGAACCTTAGTTATTTCATGGGAGCACCTGACAAAGTTCACCAAAATGAGATACTACAACCTGCCCATAGCTTCACATGTACTTTTTAATGTTAGATCTTTGGGTAGGGCTCTAGCTTCTAGGCAGTGTATACTATTCCATGTATGCTATATATGTAATAAAATAAGACTTTTGTACGTATGTTAAAATTCAACGGTTCAATTATATGATGTCTCTATGGTCACTGCTGTATGATTTTCTGCTCATGATGCAACTGCAAGGAAAAGGACTAGGCTGTGCACGATTTAAATAAAAGGTGCAATTAATTTCTTGTAGAAAATATTTCAAATAAATAACTCAGCCTTAACAGTGAGACTTACTTCTATGAACTAACACTTAGAAATTGTTCATAAAGGCATACCCAAAGTACAGTAAGAAAGAATGGAAAACCCTTTAGTATGTAGAGCACATTTCCTACAACAGCAAAGATTCATATGACTTGTCAAGACGTCTTTCCAGTAAATTAGAAATGGTATGGTATTAAAAAATGACACTGGTAATGTACCAGTTTATATCTGTAACCTTATGCAAAATTACATGTTCAACAATTCCATTGAAATCAATGGGACTTACATACACTTAAGGCAAAGAATTGTAACCATTACATTTCATAATTTCATTTCATTATATATTAATTTTATAATAAACATTTTCAATATTTTTCAAAGGCTTCTGTGGTTGCATGTAATGGAATATTGACCAATTCCTTTTTCTAAATTATTAATTATTTTACACAATTATACTTTGTTTTAGTTTAACATTCAAGGTTCTTGTTATAAAACTCTTGACTCTTCTTTGCAATGTAATTTGTAACTTATAGCTAGCAAATTTACAGCTAGCCTTATTATATGTTTGGAGTTACTTGTTACTGAGCATAAAATATTCATTTCACACCTTAAACTCTGTAATACTACTTAATAGCAGTGTCAGGCCTGCCAACTATTAAAAGCCAGAGTTTTTCTTCTTTAATATACTCTATGACCTAGCTCTATCATTTTCACTTTCTAATTGTAACAATAAATTAATACCATGCACTGCAATAAAGGCTGGCTCTGAGTTATGTTTTTAAAAAAATGGTTTAGTGTTATTTTAGCATGGATGTTTTTTAGAATGTACTTTCCAAATACAATTATTATTATCTTGTAACCAAGACATCTCAGAGCTACAACACTTCGGTGTGTGACAAACGCTGGGAAAAAGGTGAAGTCTAAGTTTTTCCTGATTCTTCAGAAACTCAAATCCTAATTAGAATTAGACAGACATACCAAGTGCTAGAAGACCTATTATCATACTAACAAAATTCAATGGATGCTGTTGAATCCTGACAACCCATCAGTTCAGTGCACTAGAAAGTTGTTTTGAAGATGAGGATTTGAAACAAACTCCATCCACCATTAATTTTCTTCTTCTCTATTCCCCCAGGGACTGCAAGTGGTGCAGTGGTTTAAACCGCTGTGCTGCTGGGCTGGTAGAAAGGTCACCAGTTCGAAACTGCACAACGGGGTGAGTTCCCGTTGCTCTGTCTCAGCTCCTGCCAGCCTTGCAGTTCGAAAGCATGCAAATGCAAGTAAATAAAAAGGTAGCACTTTGGTGGGCAGGCAACAGCATTCCGTGCACTTCAGTGTTTAGTCAAGTCGGCCACATGACCACAGAGACTGTCTGCAGACAAATGCTGGCTCCCTCGGCTAGGAAACGGAGATGAGCACCGCCCCCTAGAGTCAGGCATGACTGGATTTAATGTCAAGGGGAAACCTTTACCTTTACCTTACTATTCTCTCCAGCCCACATTAAACCTAGTAAAAGAAGAGGGTTTACTATGGATTGGGGAGAAGAGAGGGGAAAAAAGTTGGGGGTGGAACTGTTGCATAACTAATTGATTAATTAATGACACCCAATATATCTGAAAGCAAAACAAGATAGAAAAGGTGCCCCTGCTTTTTACAGTGCTCATAGCAATAGTGTAGGAAAATGGTAACTCTGGGTTTATAAATACACTGGCTATGTATTGCCACTATGATTAGTGCTCTGTTGTTACCTATTATTGTTGTTACATTACTTTTATGGGCCTAAATTCCAGCCATCATTCCCCATCTCGGCTTATTCATAAACACTTTTTATGATCTCTTCCTTCAGCCATGCACCCATCCTCCCTTCCCTGGTTCCAGCCATTCATTTCCACTCCCAAACCAAACAATCTCATCATCCAGAAATAGTCATTCCCTTTTAAAAGCATGGATAAAACTTAGAGCTGCTGTCTGCCAGGGGAGAACCTGGCTATTTGAGACTGAGGGTTAGAATGTTAAAAAAATGAAAACAACAGTTGCATGGGAGTTCATTAACAGGATCAGAGCAGTCATGGAGAGGGTATTTAATTTGTTCATCCCCTGCAGTGGTCCTGAAGAAAAGCTCCTTTCTTAATCTAAGATTGGCTTTACAGGGAAATTCCCCATTGACACTATTTTTTCTCCTAGTTTCCTAAAATGATTTACCCCAAGACCATAGCACAGTTGTATGCTAAATGACAAGATGCATTAAAAAATCATGTCAAGTTTGGTCCTGAGTATCTTGCACAGCCCTATTCCCTTTGCTTGGAAGTCTGAAACCGAACTGCTGAATTGAATTTTGCTCCTTTTTGCAAAGGAGCAGAAAAATCGTACTAACAGGAGGATTGAATGTTATCCCATCTTCCTCCTGTCCATTTGTTTAAAAATGAGCAGCAGTTTTTATTAATTGATCAGGAAAACAGAAATATTATCAGCTCAGTATTTTTACTTATGGATTGATCATCTAAATAACTGTGTACCCTTACATAACTCGAAAGCTCATGAAATGACAACCCTTTATAAACTAGTGGAATATTTGCATAGTATATTTTTAAGCCTAAGGGGATTTTTTTTTTAAAGTAGGCAACTGGTTTATTAATCCTGAATAACTTGTGGTATTTCCGTCAAACATACATAGACTAGAAAGTTCAGAACCAGGTACAGGCGAGCATTTTGCTAATGAAAACCAACTAATCATACATTTTTGGTTAAAAGTCCTGTAGACTTCTATATTTTAAATTTGCCTCACCTTGATAAAACAATTATTCACAATTGAAGATATCAGGGGTATTGTTTTTGCCATTTTGTGTTTTCACTATTTTCTTATTGGGAAGCTCATCCAAAATTTATTTGAAGAACTTTGAGAGGTCAATAAAGTTACTGACTCTATTAAGTCCATTTTCTTTTTGGAAAAGCTTGGTCCTATAGTATATAGAGCTTTGCTCCTGTTTCAGTGTAACTAAAATCTGGTGCAAATCTGTTAACAATTTCATGCTGATGAATTCTAGCATTAAGATTGGTTTACCTTCAATCATATTAAAGCAAATTTATTCAATAATAAACATAAGGAATAACAAATATATTCAATAAATAATCCTTGAAGTGATTCATCCTAAGGTTCCACCTCCAAGCAAAACCAGACTTTGTGATATTGATGGTTATTACTGTTTCCCAAGTAATAAACAGTAATAACTATCAATTATTACTTGGGAAACAGTAATAACCATCAATTTGAACCTATCTGTAGAGACAGAGATAGGAGTGGGCCCACCGTAGAACATGACCAAGAATCTGGTCAAACATGGTGCTGTCCCTGCCAATGGGTAAAATGCAATGCAATTCTTACTTAAAATAAATCCAATGAAATTAAGGGGGCTTAACTCACATTTCATTGATTTCAATAGATCTACTTTAAGTAGGTCTGCTGTTGGATTTTACCACACAGGTTGAAAAATTCCTCAGTAATAGGGAATTCTAAATACTCAAATAAAAGCATGAATAACTCTTGGCAGAGACACAGAAATCCAAAATGAGTCCCAATGCCTATTAACCATGGACGAATAATCAATGTGACCAAATCCCAGTAAGTAAGGTGGATGGGCATTAATGGCAATTTCAGTGTGCCCAATCTGAGACAGTCCCAAGGAAAGGAGACTGTGGATGAAGATGGTTATTAAGGGGTCTCCAATTCCTTCTATTACATGGATTTTACTATGCAGTTTAGTTAAACTATGTGGGCCATCTGGGCATGATGAGAAAAAGGGGTTGTAAGGACACTATTCTCTGTAGCATTTTATATTTCTTGAATTTGCTTAACTATTTGATTATCAATACACTCTTCACAGTGTTTGATTTGACAAACATGCCTTCAGATCCTTTGAACAGGAGCATTGAAGAAAGGGACTCACGTGTTCAGGCAAAACACTTTAAAATATATAAATAAATAAACCTGGGAGCAACTGTGATGAACTTGATCAGTTTGTAAGCTGTGGAGTCAAAAGTTTCCAAATGTCTTCTTCATTCACTTTATTCAAAATTTCACTAAATAGCATATCCAAATTAAAAAGCATATAATACATACTTAATACATCCAAGACCTGCAATAGTCTTCCTGCTACAAGTATGTAAATTTAAGTAAAGCTATCCATTAGAAAGCAAGAAAAGCGCTCTCACCTATATGAAAGAAATGTTCCATCAGAATCTGAAGTATGGTGCATTTTTCCATTCTCATTTGACATATCTGGGAAGAAGAACACAAAAATTTAGCAAGTTAATTTAAAGGATTGTGAATATGAGAAGTGCCAGATATTACACAGAAACTCTATGCCGTGTGAGCACAGTGATCGACCCTGGAAATAGCTGTAATATATATATATATTTATCTGAGCATTCCCACATGTTGTAAAACAATTTTATTGCATATACCATTCACAAGTAGGATTATTTTAGTTATTACATTTCTATACTGTCCAATAGCTGAAGCTCTCTGGTGATTTACAAAGCAAAACTTAGAACTGTAAATACAGTAACATAAAACCAATTACATAAAACCAAAATAAAAACCAGGGTAACAGACCACAGCAATGCAAAGATCTAAAAATGCACTAATGCAATCTTTAAACTGAAGGACTAAAAAGCCTGGAAAATTAAAAATGTCTTAACATGATAAAAAGACCATAATGCAAATGGCATCTCTAGGGAAGACATTCCACAATTGGGGCATCACCACTAAAAGGCCCTTTCCTTAGTGGCTACCCATTGCACTTCATTGGCTGGAATCACCTAGAGAATGGCCTATGATCCTAGGGTACATGCAGGCATATAAGATGGAAACAAGCCTTCCATATGGCTTGTTTGGTGCACCGGCAATTGTCCAAAATAGAGAAAATGATATTTCGAAAGATATAATGATATTTCTTTTTGAAATTTAATAAATGTGCATAGTTGTAAGATCCTTTTATTTGGAAAGTCATTATTTTAGTCAGGCTTCAGTTTTTTCCCCCCAGATTATAAAATCTACCAATTAATATTAATAATTAAACAAAACTAATTATGCTAATAGCTAATTCCTAGATTCAAATTGTGATGAAGCATTGGCTGATATTCAGTAATGAAGGAATAACATTTATGGATTAATCAGCCAACACAGACTACCCACATGGGTTGTAAAGAATTACATCTTTAACACTTTATTTCTCTTTAATCTCTGTATTGGAATCTAAATTACCACATTGCACTTGGTAAGTATCCAATGATTATATTTTTCCACTAAGAATAGAAGGGCCAGTCATGCCTGCATGGTCAATAACATTTGATCCAGAAATTGAGTGTTACAGTAGAATATTTTATCCAAATGTGCTCCACCCCCTTATTACAGAGGTAGGATAGATTGGTATTGCCTCATGTTTTTGATATGCCACATCTGTAGCTAAGTAGACCTGTGTGTGGCTAGTACCTCAGTAAGAGATCACCATCTATGATGCTCTGAATGCCAACTAATACAGCAAAAAGAGACTTCTTTCTCCATGCAAACCAAGCCCTCCAACACAGACTCACATGCAGAAATGTACTATGCACAATTATGATTCATATGTTCACTTTGCAATGACTTCTTCAATCATGGTGGTATACAAATGAAAATGTATAGCATAAGTACAAAGAAAACATTTATAATGTTGTGTTTAGAAAGAACATGTAAGATATATTATTCTTGTTAATAACTGGTATGAAATATCAAAATATTGTCCTAATGTAGGCATGGCTAATCTTTTTAGTGGCTGGAAGATTTCATTTAGTATGATTCACAATAAAAGTGATTTTTTTTAATTAGGAACACATTTTGCAGTTTACAGCATTCCCCAGTAAATTGTATACCAATATGCATGGTAAAGAGCATAATTTGTGATCTCAGAGAAGAAAAAGTAATAGAGGAAAAAATGATTACATTATGAAGTTGAGAATTGTGATAACATATTTTTTAAAATACTACATACTTTTATTTTAGCATATTTAAAGCTTAATAATTTAATGATTTATTCAGTTTTAATTTATACCTTCAAAACACTCTGAGATGCCACTGGAGATCATAACAGTGGTCCTGGTTAAGTCAAATAATAATTAGAGCTTTCACTTTAAAGATGAGATTATTTTTAATTATTGAGTGAAGTACTTGAGGTACCATACTTATATAATTACACTACTCATTAAATGGTTATTGAAAGCTGAAATGTAATTTTAATGACAGCTACCTATTTTTCTTTGCACACTTTGTAGATGACAGATCAGTCAAGAATACTGGTTTGCTCAAAATTTCTTGCAGCTGCAGTAGAGCTTTCAGGTGTAGAACAATTAGGCTGTGCTTATTTTAAAACTTTTTAAAAAATGCTCTCTCAATTAAGCAGTATTTTTATAAAGTGCAGAAATAGCAAAGGAAATAAATTGGCATCAAAGACAGCAAAGAAGATCCTGATAAGTGGCAAATGTTTCCTTTCTGTAGCATGAGTAGACATCATATTCAAATGTGGTTGCTAATATATACTACTCTTGAATGCTGGCTTTAAGAAGCAAACTGCTCTGTTCAAAATGCACGGTATAATTTCCAGCAACCTAGAAGACAGGATGCACTGCAGTATATGAAGAAACCTTATTAGTTGACTGCGAAAACAGAGTAAAAACAAAATTTTACTCAAAAGAGATCATCCATCCAAAACTAACCAACACTAAAAATAAATATACGGATGCCATACATAGAAACTGTTATCCTGAAACAGTATTCTATACACTAAACTGTGCCATGTGATTATTGACCTATTTACATAATACCAATAAATGCAGCAGTAAGGAAACACTTGATTAAACAGTTTAATGTTTTTAAAAAATTCCAGAGATTTGTAATTTTGCCATTTAAACAGTGTTTTGCTATCACGTCAAAGACAGGAATAAAATATGACGCTTTTTTCCCTATCACTGTAAAAACCAAAAAAGAAGTAAATTTATTTCCAAAACATTATTAAAGAAAACATTTCCGAGTATTCTGTATGGGAGAAATACATTAAAGTTTAGAGAAAGAGCAACTGCTTTGTTCATCCAATCCCCTAGTTGAAATTAATTATAATAAATGTTTATGAAAACATCTGTTCCATACAGTTATAGATTCTTAATTTTAGCATGGACAATTTTAACTTCTTTTTTTGAATCAGTACAGAATTACAGGGTTTACTAAGGGTATACAGTTTGTATTTCTGAACACTAAACATGTGAAATCTGCAGTGTTTGAGAATGTATGTGAAACAAAACTACACAAAATGGAGGAATTCCTTAAAAAGGCTATGGCAAATCAAACCATCTAAATTTGATAAACAGGAATATGATTTAAAGGATACAAATGAAAGAAAAACTTGATTTATTACATTTAGCTTTTTATACATTATACAGATTACAAAGCACAGATCTGAAGGATCTTTGTTGAATGTTTCTCTGATAGATCTGATGGCTATCCAGTTGTTAAGCAAGATAATACACTTGATATTGCATGTACATGACAACAGAGGGTGCTAGAGAGTTTAAGATCAATAAGTGCCTATGCCATAAGCACTCCTTTTGGACTTTTTACATAACACCCTTGCAACTACAGTGTTAAATTCAATTTACACCAACTAAGCTTTTAAAATGATTAAATGGAGCAAGCTTGAAGCAGTTTACAGAAACTGAATATAATGCCCTCAGCTAAAGAATTAAGTGCACTACACTTCTGATATTTATAAAATAATTATTAGACTGCAAAAATTTAAGTACATTACACTCCAAGGAAGTTGCTCAAGTTTCCCAAAGTAAAGAGGTAAAACATATTACAGAATTTTAAAATGGAAAAAAAATTCTGTAATCACAGTAATGTACTCTGGAAAGAAAGCTTTTGTTGCATTTGAAGTTCAATTTTTAAAAATTTCATTTCCTAATGGGAAAAACAGGTAACAATAATTGGGACCATTAATTTTACAACTTATCACTTCAGATGATCAAAATCCTTAATGAAATAAACACAGATGCAGTTATGGGTTAAGTATGTTTTAAGTCATTCTTTCAAAAACTAGTATTTTTTGGTATTTAATATAATTTGTGGTACAAGAAGAAAGCAGTGGACTAGAGTAAGTTTTAAGTACACAAGCAAGTAAACTGGATAGGGTGATGCCATCAAAGTGTAGAATTAGAAACAGTGAGGACTTCCTCAGAAATGAGTTTTGCCAGTTCATAATTTCTGAATCTCTTACACGGTAACTTCAGAAATTGCTTTTCAGAAAAGGTTTGGGCATCTGCTTTTTGTTTCTTATTCATCCTTACTGAGGAGTGGTAGTCTGACCTTCCTTAGGCCAAAAAACAAAGCCACAACAACAATCAAGTGCATTCTTCCTGGCAACTGTAGCTTCCCAAGTTTGTGAATACTTTAAACCCCAAGAAAATTCTGTAGGAGTAACACAAAACTCAAGTGGAGCTTATTTTGCTGCAATTTAAAAAATGAACAAGCAGGCAACCCACAAAGACATTGAAAGTTGCTGGGGGGTTTTTCCTTCCAGCAGTAATGTCAATGCTGCCCACCTGATCCTACAACAGCAAATTAACATTACAAATGTTCAGTACCACTCTAACTGGGAAAGGGAAACTAGTGTTACAGTATGCAGTCTCTTCCCTTTAAACAAACAAGCAAACAAGGTAATAAGTTATATCCAGACATTAATTAAAAGAATATTTTTGTTTTGCAGGATGCTAATATGCAAGATTATTCTACTATCAATAAAAGTAAATCCAAATATATTTACTTATTAAAAATAATTTTATTTACTAAAAAATCCCAATATTAAAAAATGACCTGAATATTTCATTTAAACATCAAATGGTCCCAAAATTAGAACATTTGCTGTACCTATACTAATTCTTATTTAATAGTTTGATGTGGATACATATTATATTTTACTTAATTATTGTATTCAGTTGGCTGTATCTGGAAGACCCATTTAGACTACATCCACTGAAATCAATGGATTTGAATTAGTCACACGTATATTAAAATATGCTTTTATCTAAAACCAGTCTTTGGCCTAGAAAAAAGCATAGTGTTGGAAAAACTGCATGATTCACTACTTTTACCTTCCTAATTCCCCGCCTGTGGACTGAATTCAGCCCATGAAGCCATCTCCTCTTGGCCATCGAGATCTCAGGCAAGGTCCCTGCTTCCCTCCTCTGTCC